TCCAGTTTCTGTGATGTTCACCAGTACTCTGTGTCAGGCGTTGCGCTTCTATAGCGACGAGACCTTGAAGGGGCACCAGTTGCACCCCTCCCACGGGCAGGATGTGCGGCTGGGACGCGAGCAGTTTAGGAGAGCGGTCCGACCTTAGAGTAAACTGACATGCGGGACGTTTCGCGCCCCTAGAAGATGTGCTGCGGGGCCAACCTGTATGCAGGACGCTCGATCAAAAGGCTAGAAAGTAAGATGTAGGTTGGCTTTCCGCTCTTCAGGAGAGATCGGAACCTCCACTACCGGAACCTCAAAGTGGAATGCTTACATAATAAAGGATCATAGAGATTGTGCAAGATTGAAATGGTTTCGGCCCACTGCCCCACCCTCCACTTTAGAGAGTCTGTTTTCCGAGGTCCACGTTCTGGACAGAGGGTCTGTGTAAAAGCCATCCGCAGCAAGAGATCAATTTGTGTGTCCATTTGTTTGAACTTGAGGGTAAAGACTAGCTGCAGGTTGGTACACTTGGTGGTTCCCTTGTTACACTGGATTTGTTGTTTGTAGTCATGATTCGGGAGCCTGGGAACACTCAGGCATCAGATGGGAGGAGACGTGCTTCTGGACCAGCAGGCAGACATGTGTCATCAGTAGTTGGGCTTTGCTCGGTTCCTGCTAAGACATGAGTTTCGTTTGGGATCTTGTTTGCTTTGGGCTGTCGGCTGCATGGTATGTTTTACCTCTTCATGCTTAGAGCTGCAACTTTGTTTTGTTTTCTGGAGGTTGAAGCACCCTCTTGGCAGTTTGTGATTGCCAAGTCTGCTAAGTGCCCTGCATTTAGGGCGTCACGTGGCCGAACGCCTTAAAGAGACCCTTCAGCCGCAAGCCCAACCTGCTGATCCTGAGCTTCACACCAAGTTAGTCAATCCAAAACAGTATCCACTTCAAGTGCAAACAGTGCAGATTCCACCAGTCATATACTGTACGTAGTTGCTCCTGTTGGGCTCAGATCACGTGTCGTGGTGCATGGCCATTGCTCGCTTTGCGACCTCCGCAGGGTGTCGTGGTCTTCCGCCACTACTCGCAGACCTCGCAGGACGGAACGAACGCAGACGATTTCAGACCCTTTGCACCTGGCAACCTGGCAACGCCCCGCCTGGCGCCTTGTGTGTGAAAAAACATCCAGTTACTACAGTTAAGAGTGTTTGTTTTTTTGCCTGGGGATCCTCCTGTGTTCTTTTTGATTCTCCCTCTCCAACACCTTCTCCTCCCGTTGCCGCGGCAAGCTGCTACTGTACCGCAGGACCGGCCTTCGGTGGAACAGCTTTTGGTCGAAGCGAGAAGCCTCGTAGCTCGGCAGGAAGCTCCGGCAGGGACGCGGAAGTCGGTGTCCTTCTGAGAGAGACCCGTGTATCCAGTTTGTTCGGATGTTCCAGATCTGGCGAAAGGAACTCTTACTTCTATATTTTTTTTCAAGGCTTACAGGCCAAAAGGATGTTGGGAAGATTTACCGCGGGAAACCCTTGCATCAGCCCAAACAGGCCATCTAAGGCCCAAAGGACGTACTCTTTGCAGGTTGCCTCCTTAACCTTCCTTCCTTCTCCCCATGTCATCCCAGAAGGTTGATGCCAGACACACCACAGGTGGATCATAGAGTCCAAAAGTATACTGATTTGATAATATTTGATATCAGCATCTTCTCACGACGACATATCGGTTTCACTCGGCAGCGGCGTGTCGTGGCGGTTGCCAAACAATTATATATTTAAGCCCGGATCTGCCTAACCAACACATCCACTGAACAGACTTGCAACAACCAGGACCCCCAGTCGGTAGACGTGGACACCCCTTGACCTCTTGTTCGGGGCTATTAATGGACACCCACCCCCCCAGAATCCTGTGGTGCTGGAAGTGATTCACTACGAGGTCCGTCCTTGTTGGCCGCTCAACCTGGCCGCACTCTATGCAGCTGCGGTGACCACCGCCGAGACGCTCCGTGTGCGGTTGATCCGCGCAGTGCAGGGGATGGTTGCATGGGTGCCGGTGTGGACGCGGAAGAGCGGCTTGGCAGCGCTTTATATTGCACTCCTTGGCACGTGATGTGACATTGACATGGCAATGGCCCCTTGACTGACAATCCGAAGACCACAGAGCCACAGATGTGGTGAGATCTCACTCCGTAACCATGATGATTCCAGAGTGTATGTTGTCTTCTTTCATGGACCTGGGCGACCTGGGTGCGCTTGTGCATGGGCCCTTTGACGTTGGTCTTCAGGTGTCAAGTTCCTGTTCTTGGAAGATGCTGGAGTTTGGGCAGACATGGTAGGACCTGGTAGGATGCATGAGGTAGCAGACCTTGGTCGTGTTTCAGAATTATCCCTCTTTGCCAAGCGATCAGGAAAGGATTGAATTGAAGTTTGTGTATAAAGTTATATTGGATTCACATAAAATTCATAGACACACAGAGCAAGTATAGAGTATGTCATATCTAACAGGTTTGCTTAGCAGATTCAATCTTCAAAACACATCGCTGTCATGAGAAAGTTTGATTTGATCATATTTGATCATTCTTCCTTGTTTCAAATCGACAAAAGAAACATATATATATATATATATATAGGGAGTGGTTTTCTGCTTGAATCTGGTTGTGCTTGAGACATCAGCCAGCCATTGATATAACACAGAGCATAAACAAATGGACAATAGCAGCTTGTGAGTGACTTGAAGCCCATACTCGGGGCCTTGCGGCCGGAGGCCTTAAGAACGACGAGCCTTGCAAGACCTGACAGTAAAGAAGGGAGTCGAGGCGTGGATGGTGCATTGATTAGACCCACAAATCGCAGCACAAAACATTCAACGGCTTGCCCCTACACCCATGCAACACCTTTAGTGTTCACTGCTACTAGAATGACTATAATTATAAGATATTATAAGTACGGTTGCTTTTGTTGGCATGCTGCCAGTGATTGTTGCAAAGACATGGTGGCTGGCTGGTTTTGTGCTTGCCTTAGTTGTACGACACACCCTAGGGCCTAAGCGCCGTGCTTGCCACGCACTTCTTTCCTCTTCTTTCCATCAGTTATCCTTCCTTCAGCCCCAAGTCTTGGCTGGTGTCCCGAGTCTTGGCTGGTGCACCAGTGAGATCAAGTGGCCAACATCGGAGGGCAAGGTCGCAAGGTCGCAAGGTGAGCAAGCATCAAGATGCCAGTGTCACTGGCATGCTCAAGATGTTATCAATATGGGCTGACGGGGGTTGATATTGGTTTGAGTCCCTGCACCCACTTACAAATTCGATCCACAAAAGCACTTGGCAGATAGACAACATATGGAACAAACCACACCTATACTTGCCTCGTTTGAATTCACTTCGTTCACTTCGGTCTCGTCTCGTTTTGCTTTGCAAACCTTCACGCCTCGTCTCCACAGACCTTTCAACACGCCACGACCTTTCTCAACGCAATGCGGAACGACCTGGTGATGGCGGGGGATGTCGTTCCTCGACACCCGTCGGAGTGCGTGTGTTCGGAGCATTGCTGGTGAACGTCAGTGGCAGAGTTCCACTTGGAACAGCAACACGGCTTGGCCTTGGGCTTTCAGGATAAGATCTATGGAGTTTGCTTTCAGAAATTGTTAGAAGGAACAGTAGACTGATGTAGACTGATACTTATAGGACTTTTTGGTTAAGCGATGCTATTCACACCTCTTCAAACTATGTAGACGTTCCTCTTTTGTGCTGTTGGTCAAAGCAGACCAAGCTAGCCCATGGAGGTGTCTCAGAAGCGTTGTACAGATCCGTCCCGTTGGGGATCCGGAAGCCTCAACTTGACCAACTCATTTAGCGTGGGGAGAGAAGAGATGAATCGTTCACATGAGTTTCTGAGTTCTTTTCTGGGGTAGATCGATCATAGTAGATCCAGGATTTCTGTTTGCAGTAAAGACCTATTACAATCTATGACCCTGTATGACCCTTTTTGGGATTTTTTAGGGGGGACGATATGGAATGTTGGAATGTTTGATGGGTATCCTTCGGGTGTGGTCCGGAAGCCCGCTCCGTTGTTAAATGTATGATTTTTGAGCCTTGCTTCGTCCGGGCGCAGTTGTGCCTCAAAACAATTGGTGAAAGGAGCATCAAATCCCTTCGAAGCACAAAAGGAGACCCTAAGGGCATGAACATGGATGAACATTGAGGTATATTTGGGCATGTCTGGGAAGGAGTCAAGAGAGGCTATGAGCAGTCATGACCATCGTGGTTTGGTCGAGATTGGCTTCGCCCTTGAAGGGGTGGTGAAGTCAAGTTCCGGAGGATTGCCAACTGCACGAAGCAGGAGGCGCAAGGCCTGAAATGCACTCAACCCAGTAGACTTGGGAGCAGGTTTTGAGTTTAATTATAGTTTAAGTAGCTTTGTGCTATCAGAGTCAGCGCTTGCAATCAGCCCGGCATTGATGCAACCACAGCCCTTTTGCCTTCATCACTGGGAATGCTGATTTTCCCTAGATGTTGAAGGCTTCTGGAACGTACAGTCCAGAAGTTCAGCATCAAACTACTGTCACGGACAGTTCAGTCTTGGGATCGATCCGCTTCAGCGCTTCCGGGTTCGGCAAAGAGCAAGGCGCTGGGGCTTCCGCTTGGCTGTCGTCTTTGGTGACCCGGGGAACTGAAGCTACACTACACCTGAATCACCAGGGCTAAAGAGGTGATGCTAGCCCTCCTGCCTAGCAGCCAGCCACATCCCAAAAGAAACGTCAATCATCGTCAATCCAATTCTATAGCAGTTATATGCAGTTATATATAATGTTCATCAGTTTCTATCTTTGAAGTGTTTGGATGGTCGTGATCGTAGGTACGGAATCGAGGGCGTAGTCTAGCAGGTGGTTGGTCCCACCAACGACCCAACATTGGATACAGTAAACCTTACCCAGCCTTACTCTCAAGGAGTTCCTTTGGTTGGGTCCATGTATTTATGCCATACCCACTCACATCCTCCAGCAGCTCAACGAATCAGCCTCCGAGCCAGGCGGTCTTCCAGCCCAAATGCCTTGGAGCCTGGCACTTACATAGGCGCGGTGACTTGGCGCCGCCGTGCCCGTGGACCGATGTAGGAGGTTTCTAGATGTGAAGAGAGTCTTGGTTGGGGATGTTGGGGTGGGTGGGCCAGTTGGGATGGGAAGTCCGATGAGAAACCCAGGAAGCCGCAGGCCAAGTTGGGAGGGAGGGTCGTACTGGTATACTTGAGGTCGGGACATTTGATGTTTGATTGGGTCAGAATGTCGGGGTGGTTGGTGATGCCTATGACCCAAGAAGAGAGTCAAAGATGCGCTCTTGAACGGAGGGCTTTGATGTTGGGTGATGAAATAAGGTCCATATTTTAACAGAGGTTTTGGCCGCCATTCTATTTTGGCCTCAACTCAATAACTTCCCAGTCTATCCACCTTAACTTATCACTTGCAGGATTTCAAAAAGCGTCCACTTTGGCTATAAGTACTTGGTAGATCTTGGTAGATCTTGGGAGCTTGTTGCTTGCACTCATTTGTGCAGAAACTGCGTGTTGGCCGCCGTTGGCCCTGATGCCTTCTGCCTTCTCCCTGCCGCGCATGGCCAGGCATACCTTGGAAGATGACCTTGAGGTCCCACCGTGGAAGATAGGGCGATCGAAGCCGAAGCGTTGCCGTCCAGCTGAAGCGTTCACGCACGTTCAGCGATGGCCACGAGGTATACCAGATCCTCGGAGACTCGTAGAGAGTGCTGAATGAAGGGTAGAGTTTGGTAGAGGATTTTGGTGGATGTGGAGGGGCATCAACCAATAGGGCCTAAATAGGAGAAAACAAATGCATACTATAAGCTAGAATACGTTGGCCCTTCCACATCGCAAACCCCTCGCCCTCTCGAGGCGATGTGGTTCTTCTCCTCCCTCTCCGGTGGGATCGGTACTGAAGGGTTTGGGGCGCCCAGCGATGTGCTAAGCGGCCAAGCGTGGAGGTGGCAGCACGGTTGGGGTGTGTGTCTTTAGCTTCTTCGTGTGGAACGGGGGCTAACATGGTGCAGTGAATGTGGCAAATGGTTGAAACACGAACAGCTGACCTTCGCAAAGGTATGACTTCCATGCTGCAGGGCAGGCCTTCTGAGAAGGTTTTATGAAAAAACCTCAAGAGTGCGAAGTGGTTCTCAAAGCAGATCATAGGTTAGTGGGAGGCATACGCCATCATGCGCCCCTACATGGGCGTTCTATCATCTACCAATTTATTTGAGGCAGATAGGCCGTGTGACCACCGAATCTTATCTGTGAGCAATTATATAACGTCTATACGCCCCAACTCCAAAAAAAACTTCTGACATGCAGGGCAGACGTGTCAATCGCCAACATGCCCTGGAATTGTTTGGGCATGCTTTGCGGCCACAGACAGCATATGCAAGGTGGCCGAAGACTGACACATGGACACTCAACAGATCCAACCCGGTGTAAAAAGGTTGCTCGCCAAAGCGGCTGGGAAAACTGCTTACAGATGGTCCGAGTCACGTGAAGTGAGAGAACCAGACTGATATGATATTCACTCCCATCACCAGAGCCATGAACAGACATCGATCCACCTTTGGTCCAGTCATCGAGCACGACCGGCTCAGGCTCTACAACTATGCAGCCGCCAACACGTGCCTATCTCATTAGGGGAGGTTTCCTTGGAGACGGATTGAACATTTTTTGAGTCGTCGGGTGATGAATGTGTGCATGTAGCGTTCTTGTATGTTCTTTTGGTGAAGATAGAAGCTGGATCGCAGTCAGCTCTACTCTTCATAGTGACCATACCAGTGGACTTGATTTCTCTGAACAACCGATGCCCACTTGACCGAAGCGCAGCGCACGACCCCACGGCGCAGTAGACCCAAGGTACTTGGACGAGCTGGCGCACGTGCGGCGCTCGGCGGGGCTGCCGGCGACATCGATCCAATTCCCCGAGGCGACCGGGGGCGTCGGGGGAGAACGCATGGAGTCAGATGCGTTGGGCAGTGAGACCCTGCAGAGTGGATGGCTGTTCACCCATGTGTGAAGACCCTGAAGGTGACCCTTCTTCATCCCAAAATTCCCATGTGATTATGTGTTCTTTCAAGGACACATCAACTAATAAGTCAGTATATGGATGATTGCGGGCTAAAATGTACGCTCTCCAACTACAGAGCTCCAGAGAACTTGTTCGACTACGCAGAGCCTTGTCGCAGGTGGAAGAGGCTGGCATGGCCGCAGCCTACTTGGGTGGCGGAGGTGGCCAGCACAAACGATATTGCTGCTCAGGTCGTAGGTTTGTGCCCTTTTGTGCCCGATATATTGGTGAAAACTGGGACCAAAGCATGAGATGAAACGAAAAACAAAAAGAAAAAGCATGCTTGCGACCTGAAAGCTGCTTGTGCTTGCGAGCGAGGGTTTGAGAGACTGAGAAGGCTTGGAACATCTTGGAACCTTGGATCGACATGTTCAACGATGTTCAAGCCGTTGATTTGATGGGTTTGTCAATGTTTGTCATGTTTATCAACATCCCATCAAAAATCATTAAACTAGCGCCCGAAGCGTACGTGCTGCAGGTGGTTCTGCCACAGTCAGTTTGTCAGTCGTCAAGTTGGCTGGGGGCCCCAAGCTTTGCAACACGACAACCTACAGTTGAGAAGGATTCAATGGCCTCACTCCCTGCAAGACAGAACCATAAACCACCGAAACCACCCTCTCGTGCTCCACGAAACCACGCTCCACGAAAGCCGAGGCCTTGCGGCAGCTCCTCTTGGGCGATGGGCCCAGAGCCTCCCCCGTGGTGGCCCGGGGCTCAGCCGGGTGGGTCGGTGGATGAGATCATGGACGCTTACGCATGGTGTAGGTGAAGTGTAAAGGACCTTGTTTGCAGAAAGAGAAGCCACACATCATAGCCACACATTTCTTTGCCAAAAGATCAATTTCCATAGGGACTTTGGGTGCTTGAACATGCTTGAACATGCTATGCTATGTGGCCTAAAGGGTCTTGACTTCCATGACAACAAGAAACTGGCGCTTGCCACATGTATATATGGCCCCGTTACCTCAAGTCTCAGTTGACCAAAGATGAATCCGAAACTTCTTTTCGTGAGCATGATGCAGTCCATGATGGTCTTTCCAGGACATGTTGGAACTTATGTTCTTCAACTTTTGTCCACCAGTTCTCCATCAAGTCATATATCAACATGTCAAGCTTTAGTGTGCGAGGCTAGAAAGGAAGGGCACTCCAACCTGAAAGCACCAGGCCTTGCTACCGCCGGGCTACCTCATCGCACGCTCGGTCTATCATTGGCCCGGGGCCTGGTGGGTAGGGTTTAGTCATGGTCAGCGCATCCGGCACCGCTGTCCAAGGCATCACGAGTGGGACAAAGTAGATGGCCACGGGGATGTTGGTGCAAAAAGTAGGGGCCGCGGCCGCCGGAGAGGCGGCCAGACGAGGCGGCCCGAGGTGCCCTAGGTTCTTTCAACATCTTTCAACCAAACATGGCAATCCGTCAGTGGGCATGAAAGCCCTAGGGCTCCAAGTACCTCCTCAGAAGGTATTTGGACCCAAACACCTTCATAGGAGGTGCCTGGAGCCCTATAGGGAAGATGAATGCTTTCCCTCTACCAGGCCTACTATGCCACTTGTGACAGGGACACACCTCTCCACGCCCTAAAGACAAGCGACGCTCCCAAAGACATCGCTCGACTCGAGCGACTTGAGATTCGCGTTGGGAGGTTGGCCTTGGAGCCCTTGGAGAAGCGCAGGAACAAGGAGAAATCTGCGACGACGTTTGCTGATCTTATGAGAACTGGGAGGTGCTTGTCCAAGACCCAAGAGAATCTATAGTGGGCACTTGTTCAAAAGAGTTCACATGAACTGAAGAATGATGAACACGTTTAGTGCAGGACATCTCCTCCACTACAGGTCACACCTGTACAAGAGGAATTGCTGGCCCACCCTCACAAGTTCTTGTTGAAGCTTTCTTAGGAAGATTAGGACATGTTAGGATCCCTGCAGTTTTCCGTCGAAGGACCATGAACACGAGTCATTCCATCTCACACTGCGAGTACATAAATCCATCACAATCCGTATAAACCGGACAATTCTGCAGTTGGTCCACCACCAACCCGACCGACCTCAGCATCCAACAAAGTTAGTGAGCATGAGCGAGCGAGGCTTGGGGGGGTTTGTAATTTTGAAGTGGGGGTCCTCCCAACCATTGGATTTGGTGTGTTTTTTTTATTCTCCCAGAGGTCTTTGGGGAGTCTCCAACGTCTAATACACACCCACCTCCAGTCCTTTGGCCTGAAGATGAATGCAAGGAGTTGTGGGATTTGTTGGCACAAACCGAGAAGGAGAACAAGGAGGATCGCGCGAGAACCGCTTCGCCGTGTTTCACCACTAATACGTCCTTGGCACGGAATGTAGCACAAGGAAGAACTGAAAAGATCCTAACCAGCTGAAGTGAAGGAATCAAGTTGTAAGGAGCTGATGGTTTTATGCAGTTCGACGGAGTATGAGTTTGCAAGGTATGTGGACAGTGTCCAAATATGGTTTGAGGGTTTAAGTATATGCAATCATGTTATAAGTTATACTGTATACTGTATAAGTATAGACCTCAGCTTATGGATGTCAGTTGGAGTGAGCTTGCAGCCTGAACCCGCAGCCATTCTGGCTAAGCCAGAGGGGCCAGGTTGGGTGAGCTGTAAGCATCACTCGGCCTCTTGAGGCTCTTATGGAGCAACCGCTCTATAATGAGTATGCTGCACAGCTGGCATATACTGAGGACAGGCAGCTGACTGCGCAGTATGAGACGGAGGCGGGCCCAGGGGGATCATCACTGTTGCACAATCCGCTCCTGGCAAAGAAATCTTCTCTTCAGAGCCCAACACTTGCAGAGAGCCAGGGTCTTCCAGGAGCTGGGCATTGTTTCATGATTTGGAGGAAGTGATAGGTTCTGGATGGTGAAACATGATGAAACACAAAATCGTGGAGGGGCACAATAGAGGTCGAGTCTCCTTCAAATCCCTCCAGTCGATTGACTTAATTAAACTATATTAAACTACTTCACGAATGACTTCGTGGCTCCACAGCCAGGGTGTAGAGATTGGGCTTCTACGAAGTTAGGATCATGGTAGGGTCGTTATTTGTATTGGGAAGATGACCTGTCGTTCATCTTGACCCGACCCCCCAGGGCCAGGTCGACCATGTATTCCACAAGTCATTGGTTTGTCTTTTGCACAATTCACATCTGTTTCTCAGGTTTCTTTGCTGCTAACACGCTAACACTGAACGGTATTGAGCACAAACACCGCAAGCGCCTTGTGCCGTGGAGGTGCATTTCCAGAAATGCTACGGGGTCATGGATGAGCTCTATGAAGCTCACGACTATCTCAGGCGGGCGCTGAAGACCCCATGGGGTAGCACAGAGAAACAGAGTTCGACAGAGCTTGTGCGCCCAATGACCAGTGCACTTCTAGCATCTTCTAACTGGGTTTCAGGGGATTGCGCGTTTCGACTTGCACTCTACCGACTCTACCGAAAGTGTTTGGCCGTGTCCAATACTTGTATCTGCTTGTGGGTCTTTGGTGCTTGGATGTGATCGGTCATCCCTCAGCCAGACACTCACATGGTCATCCCAGCCAACCGATTGCTTCGTAGAGGGCCTTCATCAGATCGATTAGACCTGGCACCGGAGCACAGCCCCGAGTTGTTGGAGGCCATTCGTTAGTCGGTTGGAGGCCATTACTACCAGTAGCCTAGAAGCTATAAGAAGCTACTAGGTTGGAGGCCATCGCTACTAGTAACCGCTACTAGTAGATCGCCCACACCATACACCCGTCGACTTCCACCATCCGATCCATCCCGTCGCCTCACGAACTCGCGTCATGCCAGAACCGACCACTTGCTACCTCACCTGACAAACTCGCTCACCAAAAGAAAACCCAACAGCATTTGACTTTTGGACTTGGAGACCGCCAGCTAGCCTCAAAAAAGAACTGCGAAAAACAACAACACCCCCAACAAAATCCTTTGAACCGTTGAAACGCACTCACTTCAGACTCCGGCCTCATGCCACGGTCAGGAGCCTGGTGCCGGGCTTCAAGTTTTTGGACCTGGGCTGTGCGCCAGGCGGCTTTAGCTCCTATCTCTTGGAAGATCCCAGGCGGATCCGACCGGTTGAGCGGCGCTCGGTCGGTGGAGGGCGATGCGATCCGGGCGAATCCGGGGCACCACCTGAGATCGAAGGAACCAGGGACAGACCTGAAAAAGACAACAAAATTCAAAAGACACGAATCACCACGAATCCTTTTCCAAAGCAATCAATTGGATTTCATGGATTCCATGCGCACCGGCATGGCATGCGCTATGCTGCGCTGGCACTCGAGGTGTGCCATGGGCTTCGGGGTTACTTTGCCCTCCACGCTGGGAGGCTTTCCAATGCGTAGCGCGGCTGCAGGAGAGTAGTGGGGCCAAACGGGGTGCTTGTGACGAAATAGAGTTCACAAAAGACATGTGACATCAAGCAGATCTGCTGGCTGCTCCATTTGTTTGGTCATGTTTTGTGCCATGTGGTTTCTTCCATCCACTGGGTCTAAAGGCAGCACCCGAACCACCCGAACCACCCACCGGCCGCTACACAGAAACTACTGGGTCTGGTCCTTAGGACCCATGGCGAAGGTTGAAAGAGGTCCGGAACAGCCAAGGGTAGGGTTCTTTATTGGTTGAAGGGTTCTTCACGGTCCACAAACACGTGAAGAACCCTTCAACCACAACGGAAAGAACCACCACGTCCGACCACACCCGAGGCTTGCGCTCTTCCAACTTCCTTTTGCAGCAGGGAGACCTCTTTGAGCTGGGCCCAGGCGATCTCATTTGCAAGGAGGTGCATATTTGTATTTGCGATGCTCAGCTTCCTGACTGGAAGGAGAAGAACTTATGTTTGGTCGGTGGTTCTTTGGTCGGTTGGTTGGATGCTGTCGTGATGTGTTTTGTGTCTGTGGGTTTGCCAGTTAGAATAGAAGAGGCTCACTGGGGGGGAGTTGCCCGACACTGGGAGAGAAATAGTTTCTTAAACTGGGACATTGCAGCATCATTGAGCTCCTTTCAGTGAACTATGGTGGCCCCCAACCCCCACGAGGGGAAGAAAACTGTTTCTATGTGCAATTTACTCTTGCCAACCTTCTATTGAATCTATGGGGATTCTGTCATAGTTTATGTCATGTTTGTTTATTTTTTTTTTTGCGTTGTTCCTTCTGAGTGATGTTGTTGGTCTATCAATAGAACATGGCCAAAGGGACTGGCAGGATGAGTCCATAGACAAGTCCTTGTCCTTTTGGATAGAAACCACTGGCCACTTGGCTTTCTTCACCTTACTCCGAACAACTGAGGTACATGCGAAACGAGGTGGCCTGGGATGAGAAGTACACCGGGGTCCGGTGCCGTTCGAAGCAACATGGCGTTTGGGCCTTGCTGATGAAGCAGTTCTGGTTGGGCCTCACGAGGCTCTTGCCCGGCACCTTGGCGGAACTTGGGCTCGGCGGACAGCCAGACGCGTGGTGCTGTTGGTGCGTGTTCAGGATATTAGGTAGTGCCTTACTAGTAGTAACAAGAAGCTATTAGTTAATTTAATTCTAATAGCTTCTTGTTACTACTAGTAAGGCACTTGTTTCTAATAGCGTGGCACTTGTTCCAGTAGCGTGACACTTGTTACCCCTCCCAATCTCCTCCAAGTTGAAGGAGACAGCAAACTTGAGGATGAGGCCTTGCACGGCTTTGCATGTCTTGTGACCGCTTTTATAGATTTTCCCAGGATGGGGCCATTGTTCTCCACCCCTCCAACCTCTGATACAAAAAGGTCATATAGCTGAACATCCCTATATATCCCTATGAATCTACAGATCATGTGCAGGTTGCATAGCCTGCGCCTAGAAGACGCTGTCTGTTTGCAAGGCGGCCTGCTGATCTTCCGCTTCGGATGGCGTGATGGGCCACCCGAAGATCTGGCGACAGCACCTTGGTGTCATCGATGTCATGTGATGTCATGTGGATCAATGCCAGTCAGAAGGTGATAGAAAATCAAGAATCTGCTTTCTTGAGTAATTAGAGTGATCTTTTTCCTGGAGGTTTTGGTGCACAACGCAGTCACCGATTCGTCGTCCCTTTAAAACGTCCAATTTGTACGGAGACCTGTGCCAGTGGTCCCAGCCAGTCAGTATACACCAGTGCCAGTCCACTCAGTTGAAGGTGACTATCCTCGCACCGGCACCGAGCGCGGGCACGAGCGCCTGTCTTTGCCCCGAGGTGTGGTACAAGAAGTGCACCTTGAGACTTTTCGCCTTGTTAAAGGATCTCTTCGCGCAAGTCAAGGAGGTGGATGACGGGGGCACGATGTGGTGTGGGCGCGTCCTTTTGTCTTGCCCATGTGCGTATTCATGGTGGCAATGGTTTAGGACTTTGGGGTTGACGGTGCTTTTCCAATCTCAAACGGTTTGGCTCGGGACGGGAGTCCGGTGCTGACGGTTTAATTCGATCTGCCTTAGCTGGGTTTGGTGGTCTCCAAATTCATGGCGTTCGCTTGAGGAAGAAGTTTGGTATGTCGTTATGTTTGTTTTTTAAGAGAGAGACTGCCTCTACTGCCCCAAAGCAAGGAGCAAAAGAGTCTTTTCACTCCCCACGGGTTTGGGGTTTTGTTTTTTTGAACTACCTGGCAGACGGAACTCGTGGCGAAGAATCCCAGAACTCCTGGCAAAGACCCTACCACAAGGGATGAGTTTTGCTGTTTGAGTTTATGCATGCCTGGAGCTTTTGTTTGGGGTATCCAATCTGAGCAGTGCAGCGCTGTCCAATGGAGAGCAAACAACTCGTTAGGGTATCATTGATCCTTTGTGGAGATTTGCATTGCCGTAGAAACGGTGTTTGCAGCCGATGCAATATGCTCCTTGACAGTTCAATTGCTGATGTTAGATCGGGAGAGAGAGAGATAGAGAGAGATAGGGCATGTTCATACTTGGTTCCAAAGGCTCAAGTGGCGGCCATCAGGTCTAGGTGGTCATTGATTCCATTGTTTGATGCAAAAATCAGGTTCCAAGGTCCTGATCCTGGCAGTCAGGTGAAGTCCGATCATTTCAACTCGCTTCATAGCTCCTTCTACGTGTGCTGCTTCGGCTTCAACCGGACACCTGGTGCGCAGGTGGAGAAGGGAATCGTGTGATCGACTTGGGCGTTCACATGACTCATGGTCCGGAGAAGGCACCCCCCTTTGGAGAAGACACCAGAGCCGGGGATGACCACACGTGAAGTTCCTTTTGCTGGTCTCTTCCAGGTGGTTCAACACTCCACTCCAAATATGATAGAGTTTGTTTGCGTGGTGCAGGGAGAATTACTCCCCATGTTGAATATGGCTGAAACGACCGACATGCGAACTGTGAGAGTCAGGACCCGAAACAAAAGAATGCAGATGACCCGGCATGTCAGTATATTAACTGACTCGTGGCACCTCCAGGAATTGAAACAAACGTGACCCGAGTGAGCGATCCAAGTCTTTACCATGAGCTCCGCACAGCACGTCCCGTCACGCCGGGAATTCCCGGTGACCCTGTCCTTTCGCCCCTGTCGTCGCGCTGTTTGACCAACGGCCGTTTCCGCGATGGAACGGCCGTGCCAAACGCCGTCCACCGTCGCCTCACCGCTTCGTGAGCGGTGGCAGCGTGGATCGGACGGACCTCGGTCGAAACGTGCTCAGGAAGCGCTTCGAGGACCGAGGGGTGGCGAAGCTTTTGGGCCACACCTTCAATTACTTGGTCACCACACGGATCAGCGACGCCAACCAGTGACTCGGAAAGAAGAGGGTGGAAAGAATGGGCGCGTGAGCGCGTGAGCCGGCCAAGACGGAGGAGGAGGTGTGGCAGCCGATGCGTTTGGGGTGTGGCAGTCGATTCATAGGAGTTGATGGTGGGTCCCAGTGAGTTTGGTGGTGGCGGAAAGGGGGTCAGGGTGATTGTGTTTAGATCGGTGCAGATCAATGGACCACCGGATTGGTGGGTGGCAGCAGTAAATCGGCATGTTGTTTCAGAGGTTTGGGCTTCAATTAACAAATCACCGCATTGCAGTATTTTGGGAGTGTTGCAGGAACATCCTAATTCACCGGCAACAGTAACCTGGTGTTGACCAGTCTCATTCCCTTCTCAACTAAACCAACAACAGGCCATGTCCACTTCACCCGCGTGCACGAGGCTGGAGATCTTACCCCAGGTGGACAGTATCCGCAGCACGGCGTTGGACGAGCACTTCAGCCACTCGAGCGCGTTGGGCGTTTGCGTTTCCCGCGCGTTTCCGCGCGCACATGCGCGGAGGATGTTGGTTGTAGGCCTGGTAGGAAGTTGATCCTGGTTGGAAGGCACAAGCGATCTGTACACAGATCACTCGTGATAGCATGTGATAACCTTACCATCAGCATTGCTTTCCTGAACAAGTTGGTGCAGGTTGTAGAGCTCTTTCTTGAGTTTGAAAGTGTGATCCATTGTGATCCCTAGCAAATCTGTAATATTCCGTGATATGTATATGTTGCCACCCATCAGAGCTGAGGCAAGATGCTCGATCGGATGGAAAAGCTTCGGGTGGTGCACGAGCAAAGTCAGAGCCCGATTGCTGGCCGGAGGAAAAAGTGAGCTGATAGGAGGGTTAAATGACTAGGGGATGACTCAACTTTACTGGTACAACGGGCAACATCCAGACAAGGATAATAGTCAACACCTTCACCTGCACGTGGATGAAATCAACATATAAATATCTTAGATCGAGCATGTTTACAAATCGGGTTTCTTGAGATTTGTTTGAGAGCCGCTTGGCTGGAAGGCCAGTTTAGACCAAAGGTAGAAGCCTGTTGACACTGTGCATTAAGTAAAGCATTCTCATCGTGAAAGTGGCGAATTTGCTGCTCCAGTTGGGCTTGGACATGCTTGGACTGCCCGACAGAGCCTTGAACAGATTTCCTTCCTTAGGGACGGAGCATGACAACTTGGCAGTCACTCTGAACATTGCAGGAGTCTTTTTCCCACAAAATTCCAGCACTTGCAGCTGTGATCTTCACATGAGGGCTTCGAGCACCTGGAGCTTACTGACTCCAAGAGATCTTTTTGAGCCATGCTCCATCTTGTACTATACTATTAGACAACATCACCACCGCCCAGTATATCCCAGTCTACTTCATTGGCCGTCAGCCCGGTTCGACGGTTGCCAGGAAATCCGAGAGTTGCGGAAAGAGCTCAAGACTCGTCGGGCTGAAGCGGCCACCAGGCACGACGGAGCAGTGGGGCAGTGCGGTCGGTGGACCTGCTTGCGAAACATATGTAAAAGTTGGGTCTTGCGGTGGCCACAGCAGGGTCTGGAGCTTCGAGAATTGCATGGAAATGAAGGACTCCGAATCAGGAACAATTAGAGGAACTTCTCATGTGCCATTTGACGCACCTATTTGTACAATGGCCCTGAGGCTGGAAGTGATGTTGGCAGATTGAAACATCGAAGTTGTTGAATGGTTTGCATTGGCTTCAAAAAGCAGTCTCGGCTGAAGAACTGAAGATCGTTGTTCAGCTGAATCGCTTTTGGTCACAGATAGATTCGCCTCCTTTTTCGGGCATCTTCACCCCATATCTTCACCCCATAGCTTGCACCATGGACCGAGGTGAACGAAAATGAACGCTGCTCCGTGTGAGTGGATATCGCTTGAAAAGTCAGGCAGCAGGATGATTTGAATGCTTGGTATCCACATACCTCAACCACATTGCAACCATGCAAGTTGTTTAATCTGAGATTTGCAAGTTGCTTGTCTATATTCTATATCAAGGTTTCTCCCTCGAGCGATAAACTTTGTTGAACAAGGAAGAACGTGATTTTATAACCCCTGAAATTCTGAAGGCCAGAATCCCTGTGCTATACTGTAACCTTTCGGTAAAGGAATTGTTCAATTGTTGGTTCCAGCGTTTGATGCCCTCAGAGATGGCATTGTTGTGATGTAGTGAACGCCATTATAATAAGGGAGGAACGCAAACTTCAAGACATACGCTTAACATGAACTCTCATTGTGATAATGGTCTTGGACATGGGAGTTCAGCAGTACTTTGCAGTATTGTGTGACATGGAGGGATCCTGACTTTGCTGTTGACTTCTTGAGGACAGACTGAGGCCGATGCTTTTTGACACGAGGAAACCATGGCTGACACGATTTCCATGCATCAGCACCATTTTATTCAGGAAATCAATAGATATCTCAATTGTTCTCATGGAAGTCCGTCAGAAAAGAATTGCTGCAGTATGATTGGTTCATGTCGCAAGTAATGCATTTTATCGCATCTATCGATCTCAGCGTGCATGATAAGGCTCAAAGTTCATCCTTACTATATAAAGAAGCAGTGCAGTGTTTCTCTATATAGCAATGTTTGCCCGGTCTTCTATTGTTTCAACAAGCTCGCCCACTTTAGCATTGTCCGTGGATGTCAAGCTAAACTGGTTCCAACATACACCAAAGCATGCATGGTGCAGACATTTTATACATTGGTTGCATTCAATTCAGTTTCGGTATGGAAGCGGCAGCCCCTTCAGTGCTTCGTCGCGGCGAAACTTCGGCTGCACAGAAGCATTCAAGTCAAGCCTACACGTGGTCCTTGAGATGAGGTTATGTGTTTTGTCCTGCCATGTTTTTCGTGGTTCTTTTTGTCATCGTTATCTTCACACTACAGCTGCTGAGTATTCTTGATTTAGACATGCGTGCGGCATTTTGACCAGTTTTTGCTTTCACATTGATTCAAACTTAAAGAAAATCACTGACTTTTGCAACAATAAAGTGTAGAAGAAAGACAAGCTCGACGAGATCGCTCGGCCGAGAATGAGCATCCGATGGCTGCAAAAGCTTTCATCCCAGGAGATGGAACAAGCATGCAGAAAACATGGAGATGGGCCCTGTCATGAGGGAGCGAGGGACCAAATCATTAGTTCCAACTCAAAGACCAAACCTTTATGGTTGAGGGAGTTGATTGGCATTGACCTTCTTCATTTTCTTGGTAGCAGGTGAGAGGAAACGTAGACTTGGGAAAATAGTTTGAAGACGTTCAAAGACTTGGGCCATGGTGGATGGCTAGCCTTTGCGAGGCTTGTAGATCCGAAAGTGGTTTCTGCATTCTTCTTTCATTTCGGTATTGAGTGTTCACTTAAAGACTTGTGTGTGTGCTTGTTTTTCCCTTGACAGCTCCCTTCACAGCCTGGATGTAACTGTTAATGGTTGTGTATTCCGTATTGTTTGTTGCAGTTGTGTTGCAAAAACAAATTGATTTTACATGACATGGGTGCGGCAGGATTTGGCAGTGGTACACGTTGAAAGACGCCACGGTCGGCCGCTTTACACCTTGCTTTCCCAGCTCTCAGGTGCAGGGTCGCACGGTCGGCCCATTCGGTCTAGTGGAATGATCCCAGGTTTAGTTTACGTCTTAAGAAGGGCCAAAGCGGGACAGGGGCTTTGACAGAGTTCCAATGGATCATGAAGCACTCAGACAGAACATATCCAAGATTTACTCGTGAGACTTGTGATTCTCTAGTGACTTGTGAGACTGCTGCAGCAGGGCAAGTGACATGCTTGGAATCACCATCTTTCAGGCCACCTCGCAGACCTTTTGTGAAATCCACCAGAACTTGGTTGGCTGGGGCAACCTTTTTTACATCTTACTTGGACAGCTTATCAGCTATCTGCGATCCCAGGACTTCTCCCAGGTTAATTGAATGTTTATGACTCACAAAGTCTGAGATTCTGGCCATGGTCTCTTTCGCTTTCGGCTCCGATCGGTCCATAATAATGTGTTCAACGCACCAAGCGTGTGCCTCAACGCAATGGCCAACGTGGATGCCCAAGATGAAGAAGCGGAAGAAGTGCCATGCCTTTTGCTGAACTGTTCTCGAACCATGATGGTCCGAGTCCAAATCCACCAAATCTTGAGTGTCGATCTTCATGAGGAGACATGTTCACTGCGCGGCAGTCGTTGTTGGGTTGGTGCCAGGTGGGTTTCTGCCTCCAACACAAGAAGATCTCATGCAAGTTATTACAAGCGGGATAAACACCAAACAATTGTGGACAGTTTTTTTTTTTTTTTTCGACCTACCTCTTTTTCTTGACACTGCCTGTTCAAGGTCGCTCTTTGTTGTCGAAGTCGCGCGTGTTGTCAAAAGTAGAGAAAGCACAGATACGGACGTGCGTCTTCAAAGAGTAGAAAAGAGTGAGGAATCAACAACATATGGAAAGCACCGATACGAACGTGGAATGCTTTGTTTCGGAGTTTGCTTCCCTCAAAAAAATGCTCTTCCTGTGACCACCCAGATTCCGTCGTCTCAAAGACTTGACAAGAACCTCGTGAGTTGCTTCAAGCATCCGTCCCTGTTGGTATTTTGGAAATGCCCAAGTGGAAAAGGTTCAAAAGGTTCGGTACACAAAGCCAACCCTGGAGATGATAGTAAAAAGCCATGGGTCAAACGGATGGCACAATCCATTGGTACTCTCCGGCCTTTAAATTCGTACGCAGTGCGATGCGTGCACTGCATAGCCGATTTGGACGGCCCTCGACGTTGGGGACGCAACATGTTTTTCAAGACGGGATGTAGTGTTGAGCGCGAGAAAGCGGGTGTGTGTTGGTTCAAACAAGGGTTGATAGACCATCCTGTTTCCTGGCATCTACTTGATCATGTTTGGATCATTTTGGATCCTTTGTTGCTGCTGTCACGATTCTACGCGTGTTCTATTGCCGAATAGATCTTGTGTGCTCTCTCTCTCTCTCTCTCTCTCTTGTGTACTCTTTGCCTTGTCAGTCTGTCCTAGTTTCTATGATGGTCAAAGGGTTCACAATCACGTGACGTCTCAAGCTTAAAGCCATGCATCACCATCATGCTTCCTACCTCCACTGCTTTTTTTTGGCAGGAGACCTTCACGTTGGAGTTTGATGCCTTTTTCAGGTGGCAAGACCCGCGGCTCAGGAAGCCAGAACGTGCCAGGGTTGATTGAACAAAAGCAACGCAACTCATAAACATTTTTGGAAACGAACTTGCAGAATACGGTTGTGAAGAGTGTTGCCCTCCTTCACCTCACATGATTGTGAAGGAACTTTGCATCACAGGTAGCAATGATCAATTATGGCCGGAGTTGCACCTTGCAGGAACTGGCAGACTCGACTTTGGTTGCCTGAAAGCAGCACATTGAAAGGCCAAAAGACCTGCAAAAGCCATGGTCGTTGCCTTTGCAAGCGAGGCAGAGGTGTTTGCAGTGGTTTGCCCTTCGTGGAAGGAATCTTTAGGGAGGCCAAGGACAGCTACATCAAAGTCGATGGCTGTGAGTCCTGGCCACAAGGAACGCCATCAATCGCGTCGATGGTTTGAAGACCAGTGCGAACTGGTAGATGAAGTTGTTAGAAGTGTTGTTGTTTTCAGTTGATGGGATTTGCGCAACCACAGTATAGAGCCTTCGTTCCTGTAAGGATCGAGATTTGACCATCGAGATTGTCCATGGGACATATTATGGGTCTGAGATGAGCGGAAATCGGACAACCAACCGACAACGCGGGTTCCCAAGTCTTTGGACCTATTTGTCGGTTCTTGGATCAACCAATCTGAGGGTGGGGACTAACGACCGGCTGAAGAGAAAGGATGAATGAAAAGATGGGTTACAGTGTGTGCTGTATCTCTTGATGCAGCGTAGGTTTGATGATCCGCTACTGTAGTTTTGTTCGGTTTGAACTTGCCGTTCTGGGCCAGATATATTTTTGGGGTGGATTCCCACCAATCAGATTTTCACATTTCCCCTATTCACATCCATGCTAGCAAGCTGGTCATGAAATTACTGTAACTATTTCAGTCATCACATCTGAGGATGAAGAAATGGTGGACGCGTACATTGCGAAAGAAGAGCCGCTGGGTATCGCTGGGTTGTGTATGAGCTGAACACTGGCATCCATGGGATACTGGTGTTTTACGATGGTCAAAACATGTCAAAACTAACCCCCTCAAACTGGATGTACATGCAGACCGGGAATTTGCCTTATTCATGCCCTTGGCATGTGAACCATGAAGTTTGTTGGGATCCATCGTGGTGGAGGTGAGCGCATCTGAGCCAGGCAAATGACCCTCTATCTCCTGCTTGGCAGGGATTTGTTCGCAATCATTCATGTTGACATGGCTTTACAAAGACCAGATGGCCCCAGATATTATTGTGTTTGCCAGTTGTGTTTGCAACAATACTTGTTTGTTATAAGGTCTTTTGACATTTGTGGTGAATGTTCTGTCTGCTGCCTGGCTCGAATAGTGTGTTCGTGCGGGCGCTGCTTATGCAGTGCCACAAGTGCCGGCAGGCACCACCTGCCGAAGGAGACACTTGGTGTCTCAGCTGCGCTGGCTGGGAGGCTCTCGGAAGGGAGCTTTGCAGCCCCTGGCCGGCGGAGGGAGCTCGAAAGCTCGCTGCTGACCTAGTGGTGTCGTGCACCCGCCAGGTCAGGGGTCTGAGGAACTACGCCCAGGCCGTGCGCAGCAATCAGCAGGCCGCTTCCCGCCGACGTGAGGCGGAAGATCCTCCTCGCGAGAACGAGCGACCGAGCCTGAAGAGGCGCAAACCTGAGCACAGGTGGACAACGAGCTGGGAGCTGCAGCGAAGCGTCTGCCT